TATATATATATATATATATCTATATGTGTGTGTATATATATATATATGCACAATGTGTGCAATCCCCTTCCTTTCAAGAACTTTGGTTTGGTCCACACTACAGCAGCCAAACCAGAGTTATGTTAGCATTGATGCCATCTTCCATAGCAGCTTGAAAGTACGCATTAAAGATTACAGATTAATCTTTTTTTTTTAGCTCGCTATATGTGTTTATTATTTCATTGTTTACTATGATTGTAATCCACCTCAAATGTTCTATCGTTTTATTAAAGAAGCTTTTTTTCCCCACATTGTTTGAAATTGCAGGCTATACCTCAGTTTTGCGATTGCCAGAGAGTATTTCCATTCACCTTGTATTTTCGTAGAACCACCTAAATGACAATAAACGGGGTGTGTAATGTCCACAGGGGACATCAGGCATTTACTGCAAATGTTAGCGCTTATTAGAACAGCAGCATGATGAAGGGATGTCCTGTCAGGTTCGCGGCATCTATCCTTGGTTCATTTCCCAGCTGCGAGTGTGTGTTGTCCCAAAATGGGACATTCCATTTATAACTCGGCTTGTTTTCTGTTCAGAGCAATGCTTAATAGCCTGCATGATATGAATAAACTGGTAGGATGAAAATGCTTCTTTTATTAATGCAAAGTTTCCAGCCGTAAAGGACCCTCAGAATCAATATATGGGATTTTGGAGTTAAGCAAGCGGTCAGCAGAAATATGATCATTTTCCCCACTCTCTGGGACCAGACGCTCTCTAAGACATTATTGGCTTAATGCATTCAGTGATGCGTATGGTAATGTTACGTAGTCTTCTCTCATCTGTAACACATGATTTCCCTAGCATTCTTACTCTAATTTGACCCCATCCTTGTAAAATTGCAGTTGTCTGCTCTGATTGGTTGTTTTTAATCCACTCTCAGTATGCTCAGTGCTAGTGCCACTTGGCGTTATTCAAGAGCACTCATTGCCCTCTCAGGAAGCTAGCGTGCTCCGCTTATCACCGGAGATTTCACTCATTTCCCTCTCAGGAAGCTAGCGTGCTCCGCTTATCACCGGAGATTTCACTCATTGCCCTCTCA